TCTTTGTCAGCAAAGTAATGTCTCTGCTTTTTAATATGCTGTCTAGGTTGGTCATAACTTTTCTTCCAAGGAGCAAGCGTCTTTTAATTTCATGGCTGCAGTCACCAACTGCAGTGATTTTGGAGCCCCCCAAAATAAAGTCTGTCACTGTTTCCACTGTTTCCCCATCTATTTGCCATGAAGTGATAGAACCAGATGCCATGATCTTAGTTTTCTGAATGTTGAATTTTAAGTCAACTTTTTCACTTTCCTCTTTCACTTTCATCAAGAGACTCTTTAGCTCTTCTTTGCTTTCTGCCATAAGGGCAGTGTCATCTGCATATCTGATGTTATTGATATTTCTCCTGGCAATCTTGATTCCTGCTTGTGCTTCATCCAGCCCAGTGTTTCTCATGATGTACTCTGTATATAAGTTAAATAAGCAGGGTGACAATAAACAGCCTTGACGTACTCCTTTCCTGATTCAGAATCAGTCTGTTGTTCCATGTCCAGTTCTAACTGTTGCTTCTCGACCTGCATACAGATTTCTCAAGAGGCAGGTCAGGTGGTCTGGTATTCCCATCTCTTTAAGAATTGTCCACAGTTTATCGTGATCCACACAGCCAAAGGCTTTGGCATAATCAATAAAGTAGAAGTAGAAGTTTTTCTGGAACTCTCTTGGTTTTTCTATGATCCAGAGGATGTTGGCAATTTGATCTCCAGTTCCTCTGCCTTTTGTAAATCCAACTTGAACATCTGGAAAATCACAGTTCACGTACTGTTGAAGCCTGATTTGGAGAATTTTGAGCATTATTTTGCTAGTGTGTGAGATGAATGCAATTGTGTGGTAGTTTGATCATTTTTTGGCACTGCCTTTCTTTGGGATTGGAATGAAAACTGACCTTTTCCAGTCCTGAGACCACTGCTGAATTTTCCAAATTTGCTGGCATATTGAGGGCAGCACTTTCACAGCATCATCTTTCAGGATTTGAAATAGCTCATCTGGAATTCCATCACCTCCACTAGTTTTGTTTGTACTGATGCTTCCTGAGGACCACTAGATGTTGGACTCCATGATGTCTGGCTCTAGGTGAGTGATCACACCATTGTGGTTATCTAAGTCATGAAGATTTCTTTTTTTGTATAGTTCTTCTGTGTATTCTTGCCACCATTTCTTAATATATTCTGCTTCTCTCAGGTCCATACATTTCTGTCCTTTATTGTGTCCATCTTTGAATGAAAAGTTCCCTTGGTATCTCTGATTTTCCTGAAGACATCTCTAGTCTCTCCCATTCTATTATTTTCTTGTATTTCTTTGCAATGATCACTGAGGAAGGCTTTCTTATCTCTCCTTGTTATTCTTTAGACTAATGCAAGATGGTGGAATAGAAGAATGTGTGCCCATCTCCTCCTGTGAGAACTCCAATATTGCAACTTGCTGCTGAACAACCATCAACAAGAGAATGTTGAATCTCACCAAAAGGAGATACCCCACATCCAAGGGCAAAGAAGAAGCCCCAACAAAATGGTTGGAGGGGTGATATCACATTTAGAATCAAATCCCATTCATGCCAGAGACCCTCAGGGAACTAAAAAAAAAAACCTTGTGTGCACCAGGACCCAGAGACCCCACAGAGACTGAGCCAGACCTGCCGTTGAGTGAGTGTCTCCTGCAGAGGCATGGGTCAGCAGTGGCCTGCTGCAGGGACAGGGGCTGTGACTGCAGCAGACCTGGGTCATGCAGCATGCGGCATAAGCCCTCTTGGAGGAGGTCACCATTAGCCCCACCATAGAGCCACTGAGCATATGACCCACAAACTGCTGAACAATTAGACCAAAGAAATTCTCACACTGTTCAGTAAGTTCTAGGACCCACAAGAGATATCCCAACCTGGGGATCCAGCAAAGGGACTGAGAACCCCAGCGAATTTGACTTTGGAGGCCAGTGGGATTTGATTGCAGAACTTCCAAAGGACTGGGGAAACAGACTCTTGGAGGGCAGAAACAAAAATTTGAGGCTTCTAAAGGAGCTGGAAATGTGGGTTTTATTGTGAAATAAAAACACTGCAGCTACCAAACACTTAGGGAAGAAATAATACACATTTTATACATTCTTTTCCTGACAACTCAGTGAAGGGAAATCAAACACATCCCTGGGCCACCTTTAAGACACATAGGTTTGCAGCCCCTGACCTGGAGCAAATCAAGCTTGCATGCACTTGTGTTCAGAGTGGGGCCAGGGCCTTCTGGGTCCTCTGTGAGGGGGAGGGGGAGGGGAACAGTTAGCAGGCATGATTGTGTTTTGTTTTGGGCTCTCTGAGGAGACTTTCACATGCTTTTATTCATTTACTTGACACAAATCAGGTATTAAGCCCATTGCACAGATGAAGAAACGGAACCTCTGATGAATAACTTGCCCAGGATCATCCAGCTCTAGAGTCTCCTCCAGGTCCCACAGACTCCTTGTCACTCTGAGTGTTCATCTCCCCTCCACCTTCTCTGCCTTCTGACACTCCCTCCTCCTTCTCTGTCCCGGCCATGACCTTCCCAGCTCACTGTCTTCCAGTCCACATACCTGGAGCTGGGCAGGCAGGGCTCAGCCACATCCAGGCTGTGCTCTGACCGGGGCACCACGTCCAGGCTCACAGATTATAGCCTAGGAGGGGCTACTGGGGAGACTCAGGTAAACCTCCTGCTTTCCAGGTGAGGGAGCTGAAGCCCAGAGAGGGCACAGGCCTGACCCAGGGTCACACAGCTGGAACCCCCACGTTTCTCCTTTCCCAAGCTCTGCTTCTGTGGTATTAAACGGATCCAAAGTTATTATTTAGCCTTAGGTATAAGTCGCAGGGTCATTTTCACAGTAAATTGGGAACAAATTCAGGGACAGGCAGAGTGACACCCCAGCCTCTGTCACAGCTGGTGCTCTGCCACGACCCCCGGCAGTGCCCACGGGGAGGCCTGCAGGCTCCAGGGCTCCCCTGGCAACTGGGGCTCAAGGAGCTCTGGGAGTCCAGGGAGGTTCTCAGGTTTGCTCTGTGTCTCTCTTTCCAGCCTCAGCTTGTCCCAGGGTTTGTTATCAGCAAAGGTGACCAGGCCCCTGATGGCAGGAAGCGGGCTGGGGCTCAGGGTGCTGGCCCTTCAGCCCTGGGGGCCTCTCAGCAAATAGTCCCTTGGAAACAGGGCAGCTGTCCCTGAGGAGGGGCGGGCTGGGAGGGGCCTCACTCCCCCGACACTGGATCCTGGAGGAGCCCCTGTGTGAGCAGGACTGCAGCCCTGGCTGGTGGGACTGTCTTGGGCAGGTGACCTGAGCAATTCCATGGTCTCCAGGGTCCCTGCCGCCCTGGCCACATGTCCCTGTCATAGTCCTGAAACCCCTTCAGGCCCCTGTTCTCCTGTCTCAGTTCCAGTCCAGGCCCCTCCTCCTTGGGAAGGTTGGCTCCTTGCCTGCATCCCTTCTGGGTCAGAAGACACCTACTGGGCTGCCTCAGGGCCACTGGGACTCTGGAATCCCCCCAGTCATCTCCACTCTGTCACCCCTGCCCCCACTCCAGTCCTGGGTGCATCTTCAAGGCTGTTCCCTCCCAAGGGTCCTGCAGGTGCCTCCTCTTGCGGCTCCTGCCCTTAAAAGGGGGCCAATCATCCGTCCATCCCCAACCCCTCCTTGGGATGCCCTGAAGACTCCATGTCAGCATCAGACACAACATCCTTGTTCATTTCCAATCCCTTCTTACCAGCTTGGAAGCTGCTAACCAGTCTCCCAGGCCAGGGAATACCTCAGTCAGGTACGACTACTTCTAGATCTTTCCTGACTCCTACCTGGATGACAGCTTTGGAGCTTAAGAGTCCAACATTATGTTAATTTATTCTATGGTTCCTCTCAAAGTTATTCTACCTTGGAGTCATGCTGGATTGGGGACTCCCTTCCCCAGTGGGGAAGAGTCACATGTGAAGGCAAAATAGGGGGAGGGATTCACAACAGTCCCTACTCCCACATCATCTTGTCCCCACAGCCTTGCTCTCACCCATGGCTCCTCCCTGTTCACCTCTGAAGCTGCCCTCCTCCAGTTGGGGCTGTGTCCCCTCAGGTGGCAGCTCTTTCTAGTGATGCTGCAGGGAGGAGAGGCCGGGATACCTTAGATTGTCCCTGGTGTATCTTCAGGTTGCTATGGAAGGAGGCTGAGGCCCTAAAGGTGTGTGTGTCCTGGGTCCCAGAGCCCTGAGCTTTGGTCCTGGGCTCCCACCCACAGGCCCTGCTGACATGCTGGGTTGTAGAACAAAGTGTTCACACCCATAGTTTTGGCATTTATCTGAGTTCCCACTTCCTAGTCATACCATCCAAGGAAGGAACTTGATTCCACAGCCTTAGTTTTCTCATCTGTAAATGGGGTTAGCAGTAAAATCCACAGTTCCTTTTCTGAAATCCTTGGAGTCAGATCTGCTCTAGACAGGTGCATCCACTCTACATGACATCACACCCCATTGGGGTCTGAATGCACTTTGTAATCAGACACATTAGTGTTTCTGAACTGAACTTTTGAAATTTCACACTAAGTAAATTAAATAGAGATCGTAAATTGTCTCATGTCTATTCAGGTCAAGTTTTGTTACAGAACAATTTTTCAAAAATTTGTTTTCAATTTTGAGAGACTTTAAGGGTTGGGATTGCAGATAAGAACCATCCTTCTCTGTGTCTCCATAGATAATGGCACACAGTCAGAGATCCACGATGTTCACGGTTTGAGGCCAGACTCAACCCAGTTCTGAGGTTTGGGATAAGACAAGTATCCCAACAAGGCCAACAGTGATGGGTGGGGAGAACCATTCAGGAGCCTCTGTGCTGTTACCCAAGTGTCTGGGCCATTCATTCTAACTCCACAGGCCCTGAGCCTCAGCCGTCACAGCTCCCTGAGCCTTTCTAGGTGAATCTCTCTTAATCAGCTTCCAGAACTGGATCTTTTTACAGTGGCTACTCAGGAAGATCCTGCCACCCCAGTTGTGACCTGCCTGACCATCACAACACCATGTCCAACTCAGGAACGACTCTATACCTGGCTGACTTGGACACCACCTGCCGGTTCCTCCGCCTGCCACAGATTTTTTCCACCTGCATGTCCTTCTCCCTGGTGGCCGACATGGGCATTCACAGGGGGTACATAGGTAACTGGTTTATGTTCATCTGGTGCTTCTGTTGTGCGGTGACCCTCATTATCCTCACAGTTGAGTTACGTAGGCTCCCATCCGAGTTTCCTTTCTTCTGGTACTTATCCAACACCTACGCCTGCTACTCTGCCCTCCTCTGTCTCTCGGCCTCTGTCATCTACTCCATCACCTACATCCAGTTCCTGCCTTATGGTCCTTACTGGGACCGGGCCATTGCTGCTACTGTGTTCTCCTGCATCGCATCTGTGTTTTATGCCATGGAACTGGTAAAAATGTGGGAGCGCTGCAAGATCTACAAGACCACCTGCTATGTGCTCACCATGCCAGGCCTGCTGAAGGTACTGGAGACCTTCATGGCCGGCATCATCTTCTCCTTCATCATCAACACCTCCCTGTACCTGCACCAGCCGGCCCTGGAGTGGTGTGTGGCCGTGTACTCCATCTGCTTCATCCCAGCGGCACTGGCCATCCTGCTGAACCTGGGCGAATGGGAATACAGGCTGCCTGGGCCCTTCCCCCTCTTCCAACTTGTGCTCACCTTGCTCTCCGTCCTCCTCTACATCAGCGCTCTGGTCCTCTGGCTGCTCTACCAGTTCAATGAGGAGTTCGGCGGACATCCTCAGCGGTCTAGTGATGAGCACTGCGGGGACGAGCTCACCTACGACATGTGCACCTGGGACCAGAGACTGGCTGTGGCCGTCCTGACAGCCATCAACCTGCTGGCTTACGTGGCCGAACTGGTGTACTGGGCCCGCCAGGTCTCTGTGAAGACTAAGGCTCTGCCCAGGGTCTCCTGATCCCCTCTGCTCACAGGACGTGTCTTTACAGAGTTCTGATGTCCTCTTCTTGGCTCCCTCTCTCCCTCCTCACATCCTTCCCCCTTCATCTCACTTTGTTTTCAGTTTCCTTCTCCCCTTCTCCATCTCCTTCCTGTTTTCTTTGGTTGCCCACACACTGTTTTGCCTTTTTCTCTTGCTGCTCTCAACTTTTCTGCATTTTCTGCTTTTTGTCCTTTATCGGGTCATCCTTGGTTTTCTCATCTCCTGTGTCCTGCCTACCTCTCCCCATTTGCCCTTTTCTGATCCATCAGGACCTGAGACTCCTTCCTTCTCTGCCCACCGCCATTCCCACCTCCTAAGGTGCTGACGCCACAGCACACAGCCCTCTGTGCAGCTGTTCACACCCTGGGCCTCCGGAGGGGCCTCATTACCAAAGCGTGTCTGTCCCCCTGGGGGTGCCTTAGTTGGTGTGTGTGGATTTGTGATTGGGATAGTTAGTTAGGTATTAGACCCCCATTCTCACAGTGGATGAATGGTGCATCTCCCTTTTACTTAAAAGAAAAAATCTCTGGAGGTCAACAATTTTCAGTGGCAGAAATCTTAGAGATCCCTGGATCCTTAGGTCCCATCCGGTACTCATCCTTCCAAGAGATTGGTTGAATTTTTCAGGGTCACTAAACACCCATCACCCAGAGGGACTCTTAGAGAAAGCAAGGGATGAATGCCTTCTCTGAGGAATCAGAAAAGGAGCTGATGAAGAACCACAAGGTCTTGCAGACACCTATCTGCAGTATTGGTGAGGGGCAGTGATGTGGCCCTCCTGCCTCAGTGATCAAAACAGCAGGTCCTGCCTCTGCAGGGAGAAGACCATGGACACTGTAGCCTTAATGCTGTTGTTACCTTGATTTTTTTTTTTTTTTTTTACTTTTCTAGTCAGGGGTTCAGAATTTACTGGGTGGCCTTTTCTTAAAGGGACAAAGGGACATTTCTTTTCAAATTTTCTTGGGCAGGTGTGTTGAGGTGGTGGGGAATTGCTGATTTTGCAGTTAAAGAAACTGAAGTGCTTCAGTGTGTGGTGCACACGTGTGTTTCTGTGAGTCAGTTGCTTTCTACTATTGCTTCCTTGTGCTCTGGGCCCCAGGCATAATGTGATCTACATAATGTATTATGTATGTGTGTGTGTGTGCATACATATATAAAATATGTGTGTGTGTGTGTGTGTGTGTGTGTGTGTGTTAAATTCCCTAGAGCTTCTGCTTCCTATCAGCTTTTGCTTGTAATCATAGAGAGAAGCCTTGTCTCTTGTTCTACATCATAATGTTCTTTTTTTCCACCAACCTAATATAAAGGACAAAGACAAAGCAAAACAAAATCAGCAGGTCCTGACTGCCCTCAATGTGTATAGAGTTCAGAAGTAGCCTAGTCAACTTGAACTTCCATGCTCACCCAAAGACCCCTCTGTGAACCGCACCCAGCGACTCCCCATGCCCCCTCAGGCTGAGGCTAGGCCTTCAGCCCATTAGAGGAAACTAGCGGTTTGGCCCCACTCCAAAGCCCCAAATCCTTAGCTATTAAAAACCTCTGCCAGCACCAGGATGCTCTCTTTAAAGGTGCCTGGATGTAGGCTCAGCGCGTGTGTGTATGTGCCTCCCCAACCCTGTTCATGGATGAATTCAGACCAGCAGCCCTTTACAGTAACTGGTGCCTGGGACGCCCCCACAAGCCATCTTCCTCCCCTGCTCTCAGCCACAAAGCCTCAGAGCCCAGCATTCTGGTGTCACCAGGGCCAGAGGGGCCAGGCTAGCAGAGCTGTGGGGGAGGGGAGGGAAGGACCGCCCACCCTGCTGCCCCTCACTCCTGTCCTGGGATGAACCATGTGATCTTCACCCAGTGGCAGGTGCTGTGGATGGGGAGGGCTCCCAGGAGGTGGTCCCCATGGCAGGCAAATTTTAAGAAGGAATGAAATAAAAATTGTATTTCAAGGCAAGACAGGAAACATTTCAACATAATTTTTTTTTCTCTGCCCTTTTGGGCCTCCTCCCTCCCCTCGAGAGTGCGGTGAGCATCTGCAGTATGTATTAACCTGACCTCCCCAAGGAAAGAAATACCTGCTCCACCATAAAGATGAATTTTTCTTCTTCTGGCCCCAGCCATATGACTCCTTAGAAGATAACGCTATTTACTTATGACCTTATTAATTTCATTAGATATTTCACTTGTACTCTGCCTATTTGACAATATTGTTGTTTTTTACATTAACAAATGTAATTTGTGAGATTGGGGCTCCAATAAAAATAATGATGACCAGGTGGGCCTGCCAGTGAACCTAGAGAAGGGAAGGGTGATGAGTGTGGTCAGGACCTCTACTCCAGGGCTCACAACTCTAAATGCCTAAGTGATTGGTCCAGGAACAAGCCAGTGACCCCAGCCTGATGCTTGTCAGGACTGAGAATGCAGGCTGCACTGGGCAGGTGCCTCTCAGCCAAGCTGATAGTGTCTGTGAAGAAACACTGACCCATGGGAACATGTTCAGGGCTGTGTCTGAACCGCAGGGCACCAGGTTGAGCCCTGAGCCTTAGCCCACCTCCCACCTGCCACCTGACTCCTTTCACCTGGGCCATGCACCCTGGCCTGGATGTGCCCAAGGACAGAGGAGTCACTGTCTGGGAAGCACTGCTCGGAGGGTTGGGTCCCTGGTTTATACTCACAGGACTTTTCCCACTGAAGCCTCCACCCAGTACAAATCCAGTGTCACTTCCACATGGTGACCTGTCACCCATCTTTAGGTCATCCTCATGTCTCTGTCTCAACCCTGGATCTTTGACTTTCCAGGTTAAATGTCCCCAATTTTTTCAATGTTTTGCCTTTATCTGGATTGCATTTCACCTCTGCCCCACCAACCACCCCAACACCCTGGCCTCCTTGTCCCTTCTCTGCCCATGTCCCCCAAATCCATTCACAGTGGATTCTCAACAAATGAGGAAAAGGTGGGAAGAAAACCAGAACTCAGCTGAGCCAGGGGGATCCAGAGTGTCCTCCAGCCCAGGGCTGGCTTTGGAAAGACCTGTACATTTCTGAGGCTCTGGCAAAATGAACTAGAAGACAGGAACGTGATCTCTTTCTGCCAACTAACCCTGGAGGAACCAAGGGAAATCTGGGGGGTGGTCTGAAGGGACTGTCTACAGTGGCCATGCCTTGCTGAGCACCCTTGGGGCACCTGTGACTCGGACCTGTTAGCTGGAGGAGTCAGGGGATTGGGAAGGGTACCCACCCCTCTCACACCCTGTAGCCAACCCTCCTCCCCTCCTTCCTCTGCCCCCAGCCCCACCTGATGGAAAAAGACCTTCTATTCAGGGACAGGATTTTCTACCCTCACCTGCTGTCTCCAGGCATACGTCCCACCACCCTGCTCCCCAGCGCCCAGCCCCATCAGGACAGCATCACTGTCTCTGAAGGTGAGGATACAGCCAGTCTGGTCCCAGGAGTGATGCGAATGCCACTCACTTCCTGCCCAGTGTGCTGACCTTCTCTGCCCATGTCCCCCAAATCCATTCACAGTGGATTCTCAACAAATGAGGAAAAGGTGGGAAGAAAACCAGAACTCAGCTGAGCCAGGGGCATCCAGAGTGTCCTCCAGCCCAGGGCTGGCTTTGGAAAGACCTGTACATTTCTGAGGCTCTGGCAAAATGAACTAGAAGACAGGAACGTGATCTCTTTCTGCCAACTAACCCTGGAGGAACCAAGGGAAATCTGGGGGGTGGTCTGAAGGGACTGTCTACAGTGGCCATGCCTTGCTGAGCACCCTTGGGGCACCTGTGACTCGGACCTGTTAGCTGGAGGAGTCAGGGGATTGGGAAGGGTACCCACCCCTCTCACACCCTGTAGCCAACCCTCCTCCCCTCCTTCCTCTGCCCCCAGCCCCACCCGATGGAAAAAGACCTTCTATTCAGGGACAGGATTTTCTACCCTCACCTGCTGTCTCCAGGCATACGTCCCACCACCCTGCTCCCCAGCGCCCAGCCCCATCAGGACAGCATCACTGTCTCTGAAGGTGAGGATACAGCCAGTCTGGTCCCAGGAGTGATGCGAATGCCACTCACTTCCTGCCCAGTGTGCTGCTGTCTGGGCCAGGCTCCGCAGCCAAGAAACTTACTCACTTGGAGCACAATTTCTCCTCTATATGGAAAGAACACGTGCTTTTCCTGCTGGGGGATGAGAAGGTTTGAGTGAGCATTTCTTTTTGCTAAGAAATGGGAGAAAAGGGAAAACCCTAGCCTGGCCCAGCATCCTGAGTTCAGGGGGTACCTGTGTCACCTGGTAGAATGGCTGATCTCTGTTACCAGGTGGTGGAGCCCTGGAGACCCTGGTGGGGACCTTGTTTAGGGTCCTGAACTCAACCCTTGCTCAAGACCCGGCATCCTCACCTCTTCATCATCCTCCCATCTCCCAGAGTTTAGGGGTAGGACAGAGAGAGAGGGATGCAGACTCCATCCTGCCAGCCAGTCCTAGCTCTGCCCCCAAGGGGTCCTCAGAGGGGGCTGAAAGCATTCTTCCTGATGGACCCCCATCCAGCACCCTCCATCTGGAGAAAGAGCTCAGGCCAAGGGGGAGCTGGCAGGGCTGGTGGTTCAGCCTAACTGCACCCAGGACTCATTGGAGTCTACAGAAAGAGGGGTAGATTTTAATAAAAATTATCTTTTTTTGAGTTAGCACCTGTCCTCCAAAGGAAGGAAAAGTCTGGAAAACAATGATCATGGCTGAGGCTCCCCAGCTGTTTGGAAGCCCCAGGAGACTAGCCCGAGGTGCAGCTACAGGAAGGGCAGGACCTGGTTGGCAGAGGCTGAAGGCCAGGACCTGCTCAGTGGTTCCCAGACTGGGAGGTCCTGAGCTCTAGCCTTGCTGAGGTTCTGGTACTGATGTGTAGACTGGGCTAGTAATAACCCTCCCAGGGTTAGTGTGAGAGTCAGAGACAATGATATGAAGGGCCAGGCAGAGAGGGGGGCCAGTGAAAGGCAGCCTTGAATAAAGATGCACCACGGTTTTGATGGAGGAGGGGGGGAATAACAGCTGGTGAGGGTGGGAGAGGGCACTAGGCCTGGAAATACTTGGTGGACCAGTTGTCTCTGGGTCCTTCAGGAACATGACAATTTTCTTCCCAGGTCTATTATGTCAGCCCCATAGGCTTTGGTTGGAAGAAACACTCCAACTCAACAAACTTTACTTCCTGATATGTTGCCAGGACCCAGTGTTTTGCCAGTTGAGCTGCTGTAACAGAACTCCATAGACTGGGCAGCTTAAACAACAGACATTTCCTTCTCAGAGTTCTGGAGACTAGGAAGCTCAAGATCAAAGTTCCTGGAGAGCTGAAATCTGGTAAGGGCTCTCTTCCCGGTTTGCAGTCTTCCGGCTGTATGAGGTTATGTCCTCACACGATGGAGAGAGAGATCATTGCTCCTGCTTCTTCTCATAAGGGCACTAATCCCATTCACACAGGCCACAGCCTCAAGACCTAATTACCTCCTAGAAGCCCGACCTCCAAATCCAACACATTGGTGATTTAGGCTTCAATATATGGATTTTGCAGGGACACAAACACTGAGTCTACAGAATTTGGCGTTAGGAAAAAACTTATCAATGAGTTTAAAAGTCTGGTGGAAAATCATTTGAACTCTAGTTTCCCCTTTCTTTTACACTCAGGTCCAGGGGCGAGGCCATGAACCAAAAATATTCAGTTACTGGTCAGATTCTGCCAATAAAAAGGGTTTTGAGTTCTAGCATGAGGAAATGGAATTCAATCAATATATATGGCAGTGTCATGTGCAAACCATGTTGTAGCATCTTGCAGTTTAAAACAAAGCAAAAGAGCACTCTCACCGGAGCCTCTGGCCCGCGCGTTCCTTTTTCCCTCCAGCTGTGGAGCGGGCGGGATCCTGCACTGCGATCGCGGCAGCAGCTCCAGCCAGGGCGGGCTCGGGCGGCGGCAGCGGCACGCGAGCCCCTAGGAGGACCGTACCACCGTACGCCAGCAGGCGTGGGGGGGGGGGG